GGGGGGGGGGAAACCACGTAATATGTCCAGTGGCACAGGCACCGGTGCTAGCAAAAGTCCGGGTCTAAAGCTAAAACTAAAGTGAACTAAAGCTTAAAGTAACTCTAAGTGCAGCAGTGTGTTATAACTCTATTCCTAGTTTTTGCATAGTTCCAAGGTGGGAGAGGGAGGGAAAGGGGGACCCTCGTCGCCTTCCTCCCCTTCCCTTCTAGCCCGCGAGAGTTCGCCCTGTATCCGTCTATGCAGACTTTGGATGCTTGTCAGAATTTTGGTGAAATCTAAGTGATCTAAGTAGTTAGATCAGCGTGAGTCCTGGACACGTTATACTTTAAATGTATCATATCTGAGACACTCGATCGAACAGGGATTGTAGGCTTAGGAGTAAACGTATATATACTGATTGGATTTAAAGACCGAGGATCATCCGGGTTGGATTTAAAGACCGAGGATCATCCGAGGATCATCTGAGGGATCAGCGAAATCGAGAGGGCCAAAGGAGAGGGGAGGGGGGGGGCGGCGATATCGATGGAGGGGGCAAGTGGAGCTGAAGAGAATTCGAGAATATCTAGACGGGCAACAAGCCACTCTCTCACTGCTCTACTCAAATTCGTGCATTTTCCGTGACATCGCATTTTTGTGTGTGTGTGTGTGTTGGCTTCGACCGTCTCTTACACTTCCCGAGATCGTCTTTCTTTCACAGGACAATTCATCATGGGCGATGTGCCGCAATTCGTTCTGTTCGAGCATGCCGATGGTTACTATCTTTTTCGGGTGCGCGAATTCGAGAATATTGGATTGGCCCTCACCGAAGTACGTCTTTTAATGGCAATTTTAATGAGGCAATTCTCAATTTATACTTACTTGAATTGGGTACCAATAATAGCCGCTCGAAATACACTTGGAGTTTCCTAATTTTTAGTTGGTAATAAGAACCGAAATTATCCTCTTTCACACTTTATAATGGTTACAATTCCGGTTTCCCCTTGCTTTTGGTTTCCATTTTCTTTTATTGCCTCCTTCTTCCTCCTCTTTAAGCACTGCAACTGTGATACTGACAAGGTCCTGTCGCACACTGTTAAGACGTATATGATTCAGTGGACCGAGACGTCTCATCTCGCTCTTACCTCCTCTAATCTACACTATTTCTTTGCTGCTGAATTCCTTCGCAGCTCCGCCATCTGCATTTCCAGGGTTAGCTTAGATGTTTATCCATCTGGGATGAAGAGGATTGTTGAAGAGCTGGTTGAATGTTACATGCTTTTTTTGCACCTTTTCGAAGAGAAGAGAGCAAAAAATATTGCCCCTGCTGGACCAAGACGGGGTACACGGGTTGTGATAATTTATCAATAGGAAAATATCTTAAAGTTGAAAGAAGAGGAGACAGGAGAAAATAATATTATGAAAGTAGTAAAAGTAAAATACTATAATGCCATAAATTGTGGATAAATTAGAAGTATTTACGAATGAAATTATTAGAAGTAGAAAAAAATATTATATTACAAAAAAATTGCGAATCTGAAAACTAAATTAAACTTTTGGCATAATTTCTGCTAACTGTTTTTTACCCCATTCGAAGTTTGTTGGCTGTGTGTTTTTTAGGTTCAAAAGGCAGTTATTGATGTTCAGCGGTTCTGCTCGGCTGTGAAAATGGAAGCGTTCCATCCGTTTCAAAATACCGAAGTTGCGCTTGAGAGTATGACCAAGATTAATGAAGGTAGGCGCATTGCCCGCTGCTGCGGATCTGGACAAAACTGAATTGATCCGAATACTTATATGGAAGCAAAGCACATCAGTATTTATGGCTATACTACGAATTTTAGAGAAGGAAAAAACTAGTTTTATTTGCGAATCATGATTAAATTTGAGTGATACTTTGAGATAATTTTCTGTCTCTCTCATGTACAAAAGAACTATGGCTGAAAGAAATTAAGAAAATTTAAGTCTAGATTTATGAAAAGAGAAACTTTAAGGTGGTTTGGAGGGGTTAGGGAGCTTTTTAGAATATAAACGAATTTTGGTAAGTTATTGAGATTGAAACGCCGAGAAGTTTAGCCTTC